TTTTCTTGATGTGTGTGTATGTGTAGTTCAACAGGCTCTGGGTGAACGGATGCACGGAAATTTCCGTTACACATGGCTGGCTGTCCTGCGACCTGTGGTTGCAAATCATTCACCGAACAAGTGTGTGTGTGTGTGTGTGCGTTTGAATGTTTGTGACCTTGCGCAACCAACGAAGACGTGACAGTCACAAAAGTCGATCGTTGCACCTGAATGTTCCATGACTGGTCTGAAAAATGTGAATTAATAGGGTCAAACAGTGTACATTATAAACTGTTTTTCAGGGTGAATGGTGTCCATTAAGCACCTTGATTGCACCTCGGAACGTGTTCTCTACAGTCTTGGTCTAAGCAGTCTAACGTTTAAAAGCAATCATCCATTCAACATGCACCAGGCACACACGCTACCGCAGTTTCTCATCAACAATTGGTTGTTGGCAGTGTACAGCTTATTGAAAAATAGCACTATATATAATTGTTATTCTCTACGCAAAAACCTGTTTGGTCTCCTTTCAGCGACATTGGAATACATGTAGAATGTTTGTGGTTCGGGATACGGATCCAGCTCGGAGAACACGCCAAACCCAACACAGGTTCACATTGCCTGGTGCGTTGTTGCTGAGTGGTGAAAACACCTAACCGGACAATAAACCGAGATCATCCCCAAATACTGAGAATCCGATTGTTTACGTGAGGAAATGCCGAATATTAGGCTAGGTGAGTAAGTTGCTGTTAACCAATTACGAATACGTGTCTCTCAAGTTCAAAAGATGTGATACGAGATTTACACAGTGCAACGAATCAAACATGGGCAACATGAGTAAGAAAGCAAGATCTAGTTTATTAGAGATAACAGGTAGACATCACAGAGTACGGAACGATCATTTGCGATGCATCTGATACATGTGCATGTGACTGATCTAACATGATTTCAAGCACCCGTGAATTTAATTTCCGGGACGCCGTATTGAAGCGGTAAATGTGGAAAAATCTTTCTCAAGGATGTTCCCGTTTTTGATCAAATTTTCCATTCAGGACTCACAAGCATAAACAAAAAACAGTTTGAGTATATCTTTCATTACACGCTACTGTGCGATGAAAAATAGTAAGTATAGACCCCGCAGTTACGAGGGTCTACGATTCAACCACGGCAACCGACAACCTAAGCCCTGGGACTAGGAGTGGTGAATAACATAAGTATATATGTTTAAGTGTGGTATTTATCCAGACAACAGCGAAGATAACTAGCACCAAAGTTGGGTGGGTGTGACCGGGTTCCAACCCAGGACAGATTCTTGTTTCTGCAATTTGTTCCATTATTCTTTTACTACTAATTCACGATTCACCTTTAAGCACACCCATACATGTGGTAGAGTTGTTAATTTGTGATGATTTCTCGATCCAAAGACCGATCATTGTGTGACACCTGATGCCTTTCGATAAATCGTCTGGATCCCCATGAATGCCGATTTCAATGAGTTAGTCGGGGATGAGATTACTGAACCAACATTGACTAAATGTGTACATACATAGAATTGAAAAGAGTTCGTTAGAGAGAGTGATTTATCCCACGGGGTGTGTATAACTGTATAACTGTGTTCTTACCGTAAGTACAAAAACATAGACAGAAATGGCATTTACTTTAGATTTCATTGTGTGAAATTCGGTTGCATTTGTTGTACTTTTGAGGGGAAGTTATATCCCGAGGTTGAATGAATGGGCCCGCCCTTGAAACCGCAGTTGTTCAATGTGAACTAGGTGCACTATCCCGGGAAAGCAGAGAGATGGGGGTGGGTGGGTACAATGTAACTATAAAAATTTAGTACTTTTAATTACCTGGGGTACGTTCACAAGACCGGCGGTTCCCTTGTCGTGTGGCCTTGTGGCACTAAGCCAGCAGCACGAAAGTGCATTCACTCATTTCACGCATGTATGGACCCTCTCAGATCACAACTAAGAAAGTGCGAGATCACGGTGTTGGATAAAACAATAATTTTATTCCGATAACATAAAGCCAAACATTTTCATATTCTAATCAATCAGTTCCCACTTTGGTTCATACAAAATCGTTTGTTGCATGGAATGAGAGCCAGGTGAAAACGGATATCTATCACGGAAAATGTGCTTCAAGCGCACCGGTTCCCGTGCGTCTCGTTTGGATTCATTCAGTGCCTTCACTGTTCCGGAGTCGGTAACACGTGTAATGCACAACCCATAATTATCATCAATCGGTCTCGAACTGACCGTTATTAATAAAGCATCTACACGCACGACCCACTGCAACCACAATCGAGAAGCATCGGATGAAATGAGCATTCTGAGTGCAGCGATGGAATTCGACGGATGATCAGTCCAAGTCAATTACATTTATTCCAAATCAACAAAAGTAACTATGGCAAATAATTTTTAATATATTTTTTAAATACTGAATTTATGAGACTCCTTTTGCAAAAACACTGGATCGATGCACTATTGTTGCACTACTGTTGCATTTCTCCCACTAATCACTGGCTGCGGAGGCAACTCCAAGCTGGGATTTTGATAAAGCTATTGTACTTTAATTTAGTGTATTGTGTTGAAGATTTAATGAGTTATGTACAGGCTTTCAGACAAAAGGGGAACACCGTTACAATACTGGCATAAAAGTGGAAAAGCGGGGCATTTTTCAAGCACATGAACTATAATCTAAATGGAAAGTTATTTCAAAATATCTTTCTTGATAACTTGACAATGCATGAAACGTGCCATATTGCTGTTTTTAGTACTAAACAAGTGTGCAACAAAATCTGAGGAAACTCTTATATCCAAAAGCTCTGATTTTCTATGATGCCCCACAAATAGCACTGGGTAAAGCTGTTTCGTTATCAATGGAATTCATCAGTATCTCTAACTAATTTCGATTCCCGTCCCAAGACTGATGCACCAGAGTTCAAAAACGTATAAGACTT